TTGGGGTTTGGTGTTTGGCGAAGCTTGGGGTTTAGGGTTTAGGGTTTAGGGTTTAGGGTTTAGGGTTTAGAGTTTAGGGTTTAGGGTTTAGGGTTTAGGGTTTAGGGTTTAGGGTTGAGGGTTTAGGTCCGCAAGCAAAATTCCAGGGATTCTAGAGGGCTCTCAGCAATGATTTAAAGAGGAACCCTACCTGTGGCTTAAAAGACCTACCTGCTTGAGGGACAATATATAGAGAAACCATATATATATATATATATATGTAACCCTTCAGAGGTCGTTTCAGCCATAGGTAAGGACCCTAACCCTTCTTTAGCAAAAAGTTGGAACCCTCCTGCCAGTCTCAATTGGCTTCTTTATAGGGGGAGAAGCTGGATTGCCGCGAAGTCTTGTTCTATAGAAGCCAAAATAACTGCCAATATGACTCCTTAGAGTCCCCATATTATGACTATCCTATACAGGAGCCCAAAGCCCTATTCTAATCACTAAGGCCCTACATTACTTCTTGCTGCGGCGTCCTTCCTTGCGAAGCCGGTGCATGCTTGTTGCAGTCAGTTGCCCATCACTTACAACAATTAAGCAAGGTTGTGTTGTCTGAGGTCGCCGACAGCAACTGGCGCTATGCGCAGGGCAAGTACATCGCAGGCTTCGCAAGCCGTGCTGTCAGCTCTTGTAGCAAGTACGGACACACTCAGTGTGTGAGAGAGAGAGAGAGAGAGCGAGGGAGGTATGTACTACTGTATGTTTGCATCTATGAATCTACGTACCTGTGTATCTAAGCATCTATGTTCGCCATCCGAGCTTCACCAGTGCTGAGCCCAAGGCACTGGTATGTACACTTTCCAGATCAGCCCGAACCCTAAAACCCTAAACCCTAAACCCTAAACCCTAATCATCAGCTGCTCGCAACCAGTGCCTGTCACGGCCAAGGAAGCTGAAGGATTGGTAGCAGCAGCTCCCGAAACCTCAAAGCCCTCAAGGCCCTAAACTCTAAGCCCCAAGCCTCCTTGGATTTGCCTTAGTCCTCCAGGGTGCTCGGCAGAGAGAGTCCTCGACATCGCGAAAATCTCCGAAGTAAGTCGGTATAAAACTTGTAAATCAGGATTTAAAATTAAGGGTTTGGTGATGTTTAGAGTTTAGGTCTCCCGATGATGGAGTTTCGAGTGTCGGCTTTCTCCAGGGTTTACTGTTTCGGGTTTGGGGCTGAAGGGTTTTAGGATTTCAGGGTTTTAGGGTTTAGGATTGAGGGCTGGAGAACTACGATAGGTTTGGTCCGCATTGCAAGACGGTCATGTGAGTATAGGGGTTTTTTGGGGTTTAGGCTCGGGTGGTCCACGGTGTCGAAAGCCCGACTGTCTGAGAATAGGGGACCTGCTGCTGCCCTCTCTGGCTCTTCAGGGGCTTCTTTCTGAGAGGAAGAGGGTTCATGTAGGGGCCTAAATAAATAACTGCCTATGCTGTTTTGGTGGTTCCTTACTATAATTATAGTATAATGGGCCCCAAAACCCTATTCTAATTATGAATCCCCCTACATTATGATGGGTATGTTTCGCTGTAAGTAAACCCTAAACCCTAATCTGCCCTAAACCCTAAACCCTAAACCTTAAACCCGGTTTGCAGAGAGAGCCCTTTGCCAGGCTTCTACGCTCTGAACAAAGCTGCCGCTAAGCTGCAATCCAGGGTTTAGGGTTTAGGGTTTAGGGTTTAGGGCTTAGGGTTTTAGAACTGCACAGGGACCCCATTGGAGTCGTCCTTATAATAGCCCTTATGGCGAAGCCTCTTAGGGTTTAGATCCTTATAGTACTAGCCCTTATGGCTAAGTCTCCTAGGGTTTAGAGGGTTTTTTGCCTAAACCCTAAACCCTAAACCCTAAACCCTAAACCCTAAACCCTAAACCCTAAACCCTAAACCCGGCAGGCTTTCTCAGACTTCGATATGAGCATCCCGAGCTTCTTAGGCTGCCCCCCCAACCCCAGAGGGCGAGAGCAGTTTGACTCCTGAAAGACGTGGCCGAAACAGGAGTGAGATCTAGAGTCCCCCAAAAGAGCTTAAGCTTAGTGTAGGGGCTTACATAATTACCAATACTATTGTGGGGGGTTCCTTATTATAGTTATAGTGGAATATACCCCAAAACCCTATTCTAATTATTAAAGCCCCTACGTCAAGTGCTTCGGGCTTTGCAGGCGGCTTAGGGCCGAAAGGGTGATCTAGACTCCTCTTTATGGTGAGAAGGGGCCGGCAAAGCCCTCAGTCAGCCTTAGCCGAGTCGTTTAGCAGATGCACAGGTCAGACATCCCTGGAGAGAGAGAGAGAGAGACAATGGTTTTTGGTTGAGGGTTTAGGGTTTGGGGTTTGACAGGGAGAGAGAGGGAGAGAGAGAGAGAGAGGAAAGAGGGAATAAAGTAATACAGAAGTGGGAATTGTTAGAAGAAGCATAGCATGCCTTCGGGTTGCTTAGCATAACGACACGATAACGCAACCCTGAACTCTTTTCAATTTATTCCGGGCCCCATTTCCAAGAGTCATCCATTTGTTTGTTGAACATGTATGCGGGAAGCAGGATGTTTGATTATACATGGCTTTAAGTCAAGATCTTTTGCCGTGTGGCCTTCGCTCAGGAGCTGTTTTGCCCGCGTGAGGGACAGACGGACCCCGTGGCTGACGAATGGGAGCGGCGTGCTCTCTGCTTGACACCCGGCCCCTGAACAGATCTGATCGAGAGACATTGGGTTTCTGGTGGCACTTTGGGCAACTTTATGATTGCCCCTTCTGGTCATATTATAGGTACCTCTTCATCAATACCTTTGGGGGGGGGGGCCCAAAACTACAACCCAGCTTTGATCTTCACAGAATAGAAGTAGTAGGAAGATATCTCCGGAGGCAACTCAAGAGATGGCTGTCGCGACATCAATCTGCCGTAGGTTCTAGTTTAGTCCATGTTATAATCATACCATGGGGTGTAGAAGACTGAATAGTTTCAACAAGGCTCAACACTGTTCCTTGGGCATCCTTAAATCGTAGTTATGATATGAAGTACTCCCCAAACCTACTCTCCTTATTGAGGCACCTGTAGTAAGTTCTACATGCTGTCTACGCTCCACTGGGTTGCTGTGAGTTTACAACATGTGTGCCTGGAACATCCCAGTACCATGCGGCCTTAGATGAACGATGCTGCCACTTGTCACGGTCCTCCAGGTGTGAAGCAGCTGCCGACCATGTCGCCCCTCCAACCGCTAGAGTGCTGCTCTGGCACATTCTCCGTGTACCCTGCAAACATCGGTATCGGTATGACGCTCTAAGGAGCTACGTCGATTCTGTGCCAAACTCTACACCTATGTAGCACCTGCACCCTACGCCATCCAACCCTAAATCGCCACAGCCTAAACAGTGCGCCCCGAACCCTAAAGTCTTGAGGACCTTACACCCCTAACGTCCGGTCTGCAGCGCCGTGTAGTTATGGAACCTTCTATAGACGCCCTCAGAAAAAAAAAGGCACATTATCGCCACAAAACCCTTCAATTCAGCTCTAAGCCCTGAGCCCTAAATCCTGAACCTCAAACCCTAAACCCTTCGTTTCTGCTCTAAACCCTGAACCCTAAATCCTGAGCTCGAACTCAGTATGGGCATCGATGCCGATACACGGGCGGATCCAAAGCTTGACTGCAAGCCGGATGACCTGCTGAAGTTCAACGGCTCCTTGGCTTCGGGGGGTCCTCTTGAAAAGAGTTTAGGGTTTAGGGAATAGGGTTCACGGACCAGACTCTTGGGATTAAGGTTAAGGGATCAGGGTTCAGGGATCAGGGTTTAGGGATTAAGGACTGGAGCTTCAATGTTTAAGGTTCAGGTTTCGGGTTAGGTTTGCGTGGTTCAAGGGTTGGCCCTTAGTAGTAGTAGTAGTAGTAGTAGTAGTAGTAGTAGTAGTCCGTAGTAGTCCGTAGTAGTAGTAGTAGTAGTAGTAGTAGTAGTAGTCGTAGTAGTAGTAGTAGTAGTAGTAGTAGTAGTCCGTAGTAGTAGTAGTAGTAGTAGTAGTAGTAGTCTGTAGTAGTAGTAGTAGTAGTAGTAGTAGTGGTAGTCCGTAGTAGTAGTAGTATCAGTAGTAGTAGTAGTAGTAGTAGTCCGTAGTAGTAGTAGTAGTAGTAGTAGTAGTAGTAGTTGTTGTTGTTGTGGTAGTCCTAGGCCTAGTCCTAGTCCAAGGGACTCCCGAATGAACAGTGCTTTGCGTTAATGTAGGGGTCTAAATATTTTCCAATGCTATTTTGGGGGTTCCTTATTATAGTTGTAGTCTAATGGGCCCCAAAACCGTATTCTAATTTGTTTAGAGGCGCCGCTAGGGTTACTGTGGTCTTGCCTACACCCCGAACTCTACGTGTGTTATTTTATATCCCTTGCTCGAGTTAGGTACTACTTGTGGTGTAGGGTTTTCCTGTGGCCCAAATGACCTACCCGCGTTAAGGAATTCTATATTCGTTATATATATATATAGAAACCGTAATCAGGAACCCTAGCCAGGTGGGTCTTTTCGGCTACGGGTAGGGTTCAGAGTCTTTCGGGCAAAGGGTTTCTGGCGTGGGCTCTGCTCGAGGTCTCAGTCTGTGGCCCCGTTGGCTCGATATCTAAGCGGTCCCTAAACCCTAAACTCTAAACCAAATGGCAAAATATTTGGGCCTTAAAATCGTTCCTACCCAGGTACTTTGGGGCCAAAGTATACCCTAAAAAGCCCAGACCCTGCGGTTTTTTGAAACCTCTAAAAGTAGTTCGTATCTAGGTACTCTGACTCTGGGGCCGAAGTCTACCCTAAACCCAGCACCGAAAACCCTAGAGCCTAAACCCTAGATCCTAAACCCTAAACCCTAAACCCTAAAGCCCTAAACCCTAGATCCTAAACCCTAAACCCTAAACCTTTCTTGGTTTCTGGCCGGGCTCCTTGCATAGGCTACTCAGGTTTCGGGCTTAGGGCCTAGGAAGCCTTGCTCTTCCAGGGGAGTTTAAGGTTGAGGCTCTAGGGATCTAGGGGTTTAGGGTTTAGGGTTTAGGGTTTAGCGGTTTAGGGTTTAGGGTTTAGGGTTTAGGGTCTAGAGTTTAGGTGTTGGAACCTCACTGCTGGCCCAT